TTTGGAAGGGCCTTCCAAATACAGCAGGGTTGGCTTACTATACTGTACTATAGTATAGCACTATTACTATACTAGTTATGAACTTAATTCATTCCAGAGGTCTGTTCTTAACCTGAAACTGTTCTTAACTAGAGGCGTGCTTTCGCTAATGGGGCCTCTTGCTGCCGCTGCCCCACCAGCACACGATTTCCATTCTTGATCTCCGCCAACAATTCTTAGACCATCTATGTATCCCAATGAGGAAACCAGAGACAGAGGTTATACGCTTCTTATTACAGGGGAGAGACCAGGAGCTCACCAAGACAGTAGCTAAGTTCCTCTATTTGATTTTTTGCTGCCGAAGTACGCTACAGGACCCTGCCCTTCCTGGAGACCCACAGAGGTGAAATAGATTGCTCGCCTCTTCTTCCCTTTGGCAAATGATTGAACTGTTGAAATAGCAACGAGATCGCATTGGCCTATTTATTCTGAATGTTTGTAAGTGATGCCAATAAAGGTTTGATAATGATGATGATGATATCTGTTCTCATCCTGGGGCAAAGTTCTCAACTCAAGGTAACTCTTCCAGGTTAGCAGAGTTTGTAACCTGAGGCGTTTGTAACTCGAGGTACCACTGTATTTGAAATAGGTGAAGTAATACACATTACCACCCACAGCAGATGTCAGGAACCTTTGGCCCTCCATATGTTGCTCAACAACTTCCATCAGCCCTTGTAAGCATGCCCAATGGCTGGGGGTGATAGGAGCTGTAGTTCAGCAATATCCGGAGGGTCAAAGGTTCCATATACCTGATCCAAAGCGAACCCTGCCTGCCCCTGGTGAAAGCCTAAAATAAACTAACTACACCACAGTTCCCATTTTGTGGTGAGGGGAGATACCACTTTGTACACTTCCTGTTCAGCACGACAGCACCCAAAAAAGGGAAGGGTGCTCATAAGAACGCACCCTTAGGTGACAGTGGCTCCAGCCTTCCTGTGTGGTAGCCATGTTACATTTGTTGCAGCAGAAACAATAAAGAAACTTCTTGACAAGACTAAAAAAAATATTAGGGCCTCTGCATTTGGACACTAAAGAGCCCCACTTCTAAGAGGCACAAACAGTGCTTGAAGTGAACTAGCTCTGCGTTACCAAGTTCAGTTAATTAATTAAAAACTCCCTAAACTACACCTGTAAATAATTCCCATAATTGCTGGGCGAACTGAAGATGAATTAAGTTTGTTTTGTGGGATAGAAAGATGTGAAGTTCATCTTTGTGTTCATTCTCCACAGAAGAGTGACTAGTGGGGTGCCACAGGGTTCTGTCTTGGGCCCGGTCTTATTCAACATCTTTATCAACGACTTGGATGATGGACTCAAGGGCATCCTGATCAAATTTGCAGATGACACCAAACTGGGAGGGGTGGCTAACACCCCAGAGGACAGGATCACACTTCAAAACGACCTTGACAGATTAGAGAACTGGGCCAAAACAAACAAGATGAATTTTAACAGGGAGAAATGTAAAGTATTGCACTTGGGCAAAAAAAATGAGAGGCACAAATACAAGATGGGTGACACCTGGCTTGAGAGCAGTACATGTGAAAAGGATCTAGGAGTCTTGGTTGACCACAAACTTGACATGAGCCAACAGTGTGACGCGGCAGCTAAAAAAGCCAATGCAATTCTGGGCCTCATCAATAGGAGTATAGCATCTAGATCAAGGGAAGTAATAGTGCCACTGTATTCTGCTCTGGTCAGACCTCACCTGGAGTACTGTGTCCAGTTCTGGGCACCACAGTTCAAGAAGGACACTGACAAACTGGAACGTGTCCAGAGGAGGGCAACCAAAATGGTCAAAGGCCTGGAAATGATGCCCTATGAGGAACGGCTAAGGGAGCTGGGCATGTTTAGCCTGGAGAAGAGGAGGTTAAGGGGTGATATGATAGCCATGTTCAAATATATAAAAGGATGTCACATAGAGGAGGGAGAAAGGCTGTTTTCTGCTGCTCCAGAGAAGCGGACACGGAGCAATGGATCCAAACTACAAGAAAGAAGATTCCACCTAAACATTAGGAAGAACTTCCTGACAGTAAGAGCTGTTCGACAGTGGAATTTGTTGCCAAGGAGTGTGGTGGAGTCTCCTTCTTTGGAGGTCTTTAAGCAGAGGCTTGACAACCATATGTCAGGAGTGCTCTGATGGTGTTTCCTGCTTGGCAGGGGGTTGGACTCGATGGCCCTTGGGGTCTCTTCCAACTCTATGATTCTATGGACTTGTAAGCTTAAATATAGTAAGTACTGGAGGAAATAAACGACCCAATTCCACTGTGTGGTTTTTTAATGCTTCTTAGTCTTCTGAAGTATATTTTATACCTCGGCACAGCAGCTTATAACATTTAGATATGGTGGCCTCTTTCAGTGGGTGAGATGTGCTGGAATCCTTTTTTTACGCAAACACAATTATTTTTTAGTTTTTGTTTCATTTTAGCTGTATATTGGTTTTAATTTTATTTTTAACTCACTTTGAAATAATAATAATAATAATAATAATAATAATAATAATAATAATAATAATTCTGAATGCTGAATTTTATTTTATTTTATCTTGCCAGGATCATTTGGACAAACTGTGAACTGAAAATGAATTAAACCAGTTCACTCTGTGAAGGGACAGGCGTAAACTTGGATTAATCCCTTTCTGGATGTGCTGAACTTACACTAGAACTGGATTATCCTGAATGACTTAAGCAACAGCCTGTTACAAAGGTGGGGATACCTGTGGGCCCCCGAGAGGTCATTGGGATTCCAGCTCCCATTGTTCCTGACACTGTCTATACTGGCTAAGACTGATGAAAATTTGAGTGCAACAGCATCAGAAAAGCCACAGGTTCTCCATCCCTGGCCTACAGCAGGGCTGCCCTTACAGATGACTCAGAAACCTCGACTGGTTCAAAGTGCAGCGGCCAGATTACTAATGGGTTGTCTTTAGAACCCGTATAACCCCAAACAATTCCATTGGCTGCCATTGTTTCTGGGCCCAATTTAAGGCGCTGACAACTATCCTTCTTACCTACCGACCCTCTCGGGTGTTAAGATAAATGTGTGTGTGTGTGCGCGTGTGTGTCTTGGTATTTATGCTACCCTCAGAAGTTCGGGACATTTCATGTGGCAGCCCCCAAATTGTGGACTTCCTCCTTGACAGAGGTGCGTCTGACACCTTCAATATACAGCTTTCCACAAATGCTTGAAGAGGCAACCTCTTCACTCCGGCCTCTGACACTTGAGGTGTGTGTTTTCAGGACCCTATTCTTACAAGCAAAATTTGGTTTAGCCACTTTTAATTATGAATGTTAAATTGTTGCAACCTGCCCTGAGACCTGCTGGCGAACAACAACAACAACACCAACACATATTTTCCCCTCTTAGGCAGCAGGGTACCACCCTTCCCAAAGGAGCAATTCAAGATATCTGCAATGTTGCAGCGGCCTCTAGATCTCGCATGTCCCAATCAGAGAAGTGCCCACCACTGTACAAAGAAGAAAAGCCCACCCAGTGCCCTGGGGGCTCTGGACTTTCCCCAGCACAGCTACTGAAGCTGGTGAGTATAAGCAGGCCTAGATTGCCTGCCCCTCCAATGCCAGTACAATTTAATTGGGGTAGGTAGGATCAGGCTCTCCAAGGCTGAAGAACTGGCCATCCTCAAATCAGCTCTCTTAAGAGCACATCTACACTATGAATTTAAACCAGCCTCAAATAGTTTTGCTGTGATGACCCTGGGGTCTCCCTCATCGCACACACAAAAAACCGTAACGGAATTTTTGGAAATGAACCTACCACAACCAAGCCATATACTGCAAATAATCAGCTGTCAATAACCACATTTGCACTCCACAGACCCACAAATCCTCATTTGGCATTCAGTGCTCATTTACAAATGTTTATAGACACACAGATGCACTTCTTACTCAACAAGCCTCACTTTGTGTTATATCACTTCGTTTAACACCACCTTTACCAGAAAAAAATAGGATGCCATGCAATTGTCGAAAAGTACTGATGCGAGTCAATTCAGTAATCACAAACTGAAACCCAAACCCTATACTCTTAACGACATCACACTCTTCAACAGCGGAGAATTACGGATTTCTGCTCCAGATTCTATACACATAATGTGGGTTGCAAATCCACTCTTTGCCCATAAATATGATTTGAAAGGTGTGGGGCTGGGAACCCCACCCCATTGTTTCACCATTCCAATTTAGAGTACAGCAGGGTGCTAGAGTGTGCAAAACCAGCTGCCTTAAGTGATCATGGGTGTAAGCACATTTACGTGGAAGTATCTCATTGATTGAAGTATCGGCACAGTTGAGAACAGGGCCTTGCATTTCATTGAACCCTACTAATCATGCTGTACATTATTCCCATTTTCAAAAAAATATGATTTATTCCCCCCCCCCCGAACATAGTGTTCTCTTCTTTCTTCAAGATAGGATTGTTATTCCTGCAGTCTTTTGCCAACACAGTTCCAAAACATGCACATTCCAATATCATAATCTAGCTTCAAATCCTCTTACACTGACTATTTTGCACTGCTGAATAATATACCAGAAAGGGGAAATGGATGACCAGGAAAGCTGATAGAAAGCTCGCAAACACTTGAGTTGGCATCCTTGAACAGCAGTTTTGCCTGCCTATTGGAGGCTGCAACCCTGAACCCTCCTCTCTAACATGGGAGCTAAAACTAGATGCATTCAGCATAAGAACATCACAAGATATAGCTCTCTCAATTGTCACTGAGGACCACAAACCCGTCTCCCACCAACAGACACATATATACTTAAAAAACAGTGTGCACACTGGCAGGGGTGAGGGCTGGATAGAAGGAGAAATTATCAAATAGAAATGTGGCCAAATATTAAAACAGAGAAATTATTTCTTTGCGTTCTCATTTTGGTTTTTCGCAATCATCTTACCACTGGAGACGAAATTCGACACCCAGGGCAATCACAGATTGGAGGATGTACCTGTAAGATTCCTTTGGACATAAGAGTCTTCAAACTTTTCCCTGGATGAAAAAGAAAAAAGAGGGGAATGGGGGGAATGGAAAGAACAAAACAAGTATTTAGTTTGGCTTTTAAAAAGAAAGAAAGAGAGAGAGACTGAGAGGCTTTGCACAAAACAAGCCAGCCTCTACCCACACCCACCCCCTTTTACAGGGCCCTGGCTTGCACCCTAATTGAACTTTGTACCCTGTGGAAATGATGAAAAGGAGTAGCAGCGCTCATTAGCCCCTATCTAACCTTGTTAAAAATGTTCGCCAGGCTGAAAAATAATAGGGGAACCCTGAAAAGGAGAGGCCTTGGAGGAGCAGAGCTGCTCTGCACCCACCCCGCCTCCCCCTGCATCAAGCAAACACCATTCAAGATGCCTGCATTTGCAATTCACAGCCATGACGCCAGCACTCAAAGGATAAAACACACACAACTGAAAGCAGGTAAAGAAAGGCAAACAACAGGCTGAAGAGACAGGCGGGGAGCGCAGGGAGCTTAGCCCCCGCTGCCCCTGAAAAACTCTTTTCTCCGTCCCTTGAACACCAGCTCTCCTCCCCAGAGGAATGAGGGGTCTTTTCCTGAAGGCGGCCGGAGGAAGGGGGTAGCAGCATCATTAGAGCGGCGGCAGCAACAGCCGCTCTCCTCCTCCTCGAGGCGATCAATAAACAAGGCGAGGTGTCAGTCACCTCCTAATGGCTCCTGGGACCCTCGGCGTGACACATGCAGCCCTCGGCTAATGACATGTCAAGGCGGACGCCTCTTGGGCTTCCCACCTCCTTCACCCAGCTCTCCGGCCCCCGCTTCGCCCCAGCCTCAGCTGCCTCCCCGAGCCCGGGCAATGAAATAAAATAAAATAAAATGAGGCGCGGGGGGGGGGGTGTAAAAAAGAGAGCGCGCGCAAATGCAAGCCACAGGGGCGATCCTCGCCTCCTTGCACAACAGCAAAGACGACGCACCCGCTTGCCGCTCCACTTTTCTCGGGGAAAGTCGCTGGGGCGAAGGTGCGGGGAGATTTTGTTAAATTAAATTGTTAAGAAAGGAGGAGGAGAAGGAGGGAAGAGGAGTAGCCGCCAGCACAGACCTCCCTCCCTCTCACCCACCAGCTCCCTCGCCGCCGCCACCCACCTGCCTCGGCGCATTGGCGGATCCGGACTGAGCGGCTGGGGTTGGGATTTCGGTTTCTATTCGCATCAGCCCTCTGCGAAGCGACTCCCCCCACCCACAGGCGCGCTTCCAGAGCAGAGCAAGGCAGGCGCAGCAGACCCGCGGTTGCCCCCCCCCACCCGCTCCTCCGCTTAACCTCAGCGTCGGCGGAAGGGGCGACCCAAAAGCATCGAGGCCAGTCCCGGATCGGGACGCAAGCGGCAGAACAACAGCAAGCCACGGAAGACGCCACACTGCGGGTTGGAGGAGGGACACTACAGGTCCACGTGCCTCTTGCCTGTCCGAGGTGGGGGGGGGGGAGCAGCTCCGCTCATTGCGACGCCGGTAAAAAACGCAACCTCTCACAAGACACACACATACTTGGAAATCGGCCCCGCTGAGTTCAGAGGGACTTGCTCCCAAGTTAGGACCGCGCCCTCTAAGAACGCCACGTTACGCGCAAACACGAAGCTTGCGTTTTTGAACACCCCTTTCCCCCCTCCAGAAAGCAGCGAGGTTGCTGCGCCTCACTTGCCATTCGGGGGGGGGGTGTGCGGGCGAGAGGCGAGGCCACCGCGCGAAAAGCGCACCCGCCAGTCGCAGACGAGCAGCAGCGGAAAGGGGGTTCTCCAAAGTCGCGCCTAGCCGCCCCGGCGCAAAAGCTACACTCACTTGGAGAAGAGGGAAGAGCGAAGAGCTTCGGTTTGGCGGGCGGGGGGGGGGAGGGGTGACGGGGCGGGCGCGCCGTTCACACATACACACGCCGAGCTAGACGTAAACAGCAGCTGTGCAGACACAACCGCGAAGGACGCCTAGCGCCAAAACCACAACTCCGCAGCCAGGCGAGCAGCGCCTCGAAGGGGACGCGCCGTCGGGGCAGCAGAGAAAACAACGCAAAAGGCAGCTCCAAAAAGGATAGGAGTATGTATCTTTGCTGTCCTGCTTCGATCCCCCACTACACGCACACACGCAAAAGGAGCCCAGAAACACACACCAGACTCCGGGCGCCAAAGCGCTGGCGGCTCAGCCTGGCCTCGAGAAGTTGCAGCCTCGGGTCACTTCGGAGGCGCGCTCCAGACAGTCCTTCGCTCCGCGCCAGGCGGCTCTGGTTTGAAGTGGAGGAAAGATGAGTCTCTTCCAATCCTCAACCTTCCCCCCCCCCCTCCAACTGGCGCGCGCGCGCGCGCGAGACTCCGCCACCGCCCAACAAGTGCAATCTCTCCCCCACCCCCCACCCCCACCCCGTGGGCACATGCTGCCGCCGCCGCTCTTAAAAAAATAAATAATCCACCCTCGGTTTTACTTGGCCCGCAAAATACAAGAGGCGCGCATCAATAAGTCTCTTCAACTTTCTAAGCACACGCGAAAACTTCATCTCCGCCGTCGGTTCTTTCGGATTCTGTAGCGCATTCGCGGCGTTCGTTCGTTCACACGCACGAAAGGCGAGTTTATTCTAAAGGCGTGTTTGTGTCAGTTTGACTTTCCGAAAGTAAAAAGGGCAGTTTATAAAAAGGGGGGCGGAGGACAAGGCTTGTGAAAGACGCACTTACAAACCCTCGCGGAACATCATCCCGCACACCCGTTGGCCGACAGCTGTTGCCCCCACTGGGCATCCAGGGATTCGGCGGTGGAGAGGGAACTGGGAACGCGCCCCCTCGGAAAACCGCGGGAGTTTCCCAGTTTGACGGGACTCTCTTCTAACACGCGCCGATAGTTAACGCGGTCACGCCCCTCCCACCGGAACGTCGAATCTCCGGGAATGCGCAAAGGAGTCAAGAGTGCCTCTGAACATGAACAGAGATCTTTCCCCGTAACATTCAGTGAACAACAATCAACCCACCACGCGATTACGGGATAGCGAGGTGCGGAGACACTTGAACCCAAGCCACCTATCATTTTAGCAGTTGCACACTATTTCTGGTAAAACGAAGAGCCCGGGGGGGAATAAAGCTTATCAAGCCTGTCCACCCCCTTCCCTTATCCGAGATCGGGACGATGCAAAGGCTTGTTCCGTCTACTGTTTGATGAGGGAAAATCATACACACCCTACCTACTTTCCCCCACCAGCCGCCTGACGAGGCGCCCTGCGCGCCTCGAAAGCCGGCACTTTTGCCCCAGAGAGAAGCCAGCCGAGCAAGCCGAAAGGAGCAGCCCCCGTCGCCTGGCGCGCCCCGGCTTCCCGCCCCGGTTAGCTCGCTCTCTTCCCCGCCGGCCGGCCGGTACCTTTGTGCCGGATGCTCCGCTTCCAGTCCTTGGCGGTCTCCCGGCCGCTGACGAACTGGAACTCGTTGGGAGTGAGCCACTCTCCCCGGTAGCGAATGGAGGGCCCTTTGCTGCCCTGGCACAACTTATTGATGTAGAGGAGCGCCTTGTTCTCGCCGCACTCCACCTCGATGCAAGGCTCGCCGTTGTCGAAGAAGGGCTGGAAATCCGGGATGGACGAGAAGCGCTCCAGCATCAGGTCCTCGGGGAGGGGGTGCGGGTGGGAGTGGGCGGCGGCGTGGGGCGCCGCGTGGAAGTCCAGGTAAGCGCGCTGCTGCTGGTGATGATGGTGGTGCTGGTGGTGCGCAGCGGTGGCGAAGATCTGCTCGTAGGCAGGCGGGTGCGGGGTCACCACGGGGATGGCGGCGGCCGCCAAGGGGACCAGGTAGTCGGGCAAGGTCTCCATGGGCTGGTTAAAGGCGGCCAGCGCCAGCTCCTCGCGGTCCGGGCGCTCCCTCTTGATGGCCGGCATGGTGGCGGCGACAGCGGCGCGCTCAGCCGGCGGCGGCGGCGGCTGCTCTTCCCAGGCTGCAAGTTGCGCGCTTGGAATGAGCCTCCCGCAAGAGCAGCAGCAGCAGCAAAAGCAGCAACAGCCCCAGCACAAGCAGCACCTTGCAGGCGCCGGCTGGAGCGGCGGCTGCGGCGGCGAACCCGCTTGCAAAGCTCCCCAGCGGCGCAGCAGCCAAGGGGCGCCGGGATCCCGCAGCCAGCAACCCGAGCTTAATGCGCCCGGGAGGAGTTCAGAGCGGTGGCGGCGGCAGCGGCGGCAGATCTGCCCCTCCGGGTTAATACTTGACATCTTGGCCAGGGAGAGGGCGCCGCCGCCGCCGCCACAGCTGCCGCCGCCGCCGCCGGAGACATGGTTTCGGTCGCCAAAGGTTTATTGATCTCCACTCACACTCCCCCCCCGCCGCCGCCGCCCCCCCCCAGCCGCGGATCGACCCTGCGCCTCTGCCTAGCGACCTCTTTTCTCTCTCTCTCTCTTTTTCTCTCTCCCCCACCCCCCACTTTCCCGCCTGGAGTATCCCCTTCTGGCTTGCCCTGCCAGCCCACGCAGTCCTCCCTGCTCGTTTGCCTGGCGTTTTATTTTTAATCTGGTTGTGTGCGAGTGGTTCTTTTTTAAATATATATATATTACAGTCACCTAAAATCTTGCAGCCTTATTTTTTCCCTCCGTTCCACGCGGGTAACGCACTTTCACTCCCCTGCCCCGCCACTTGCAAAAAACGTAATTGTAAAAAACTGCATTTTTTTATTTTAAAAATTGCAATTGCATTAGCGCAACCTTTGCAACATTGCTTTCCTTCCCTCCCACACAAGCCTGCAACTTTTCCACAGGTCTGTCTCCCCGCTATTAATAATAATTTTTAAAAACCCACCGACATGCATCCACACATGCACCTGCAAAAGGGGATATTTCTCAAACGACGCCCCCTCCCAGCGAAGCCTATTGAGATGGTTAGGAAATCAATTTCTAGGCTAGAAATTAAAAGCAACCTAGAATTTTAAAAAAATAATAAAATTAAACCGCTTTCACAGTCGACAATTCCCCCTCCCCAATAAACAGCGCCCTTGCCTTTACTAGAAGTAAGGGGGTTCTATTTGGCTGGGCTTCCTCCTACAGGCACCCCTGATAGAAACATATATATATTGATATATTTTCGGAAGTCAAGAGTGGAGTTCTGAGACACTCCGACCAAACAAGCTTTTCCCTCCGCTGCCGATTCTCCAACTTGCCCCATTTAAACAGCACAAGGCGCTTGCAAAAAAAAGAGAGAGGCGGAAAAAGTGGAAGGTGGGGGGACTGACTCTAGGAGAGGGGGGTAAGCGACGGACAACCACCTCCTTCAAAGAACCACACAATCGTCTCCCCCGTGTTTTTTTTAATGCCCAAATTAACCGGGGTGGGTGGGTTAATAAAGGTTGCTCTTCTTACCCGTGGACTCTGGATGCCTTTGGAGTCAGTGGGTGTCACTGGGGCTTTGCCCCGAACCTGTTTTCAGCTGGAAGGCTCACTGCTGCCTTGGGCAGCAAGAGTGAAAGTCTCTCATCGCAACTCTGGTGTTTGGAAAGAATGGGCTTCTGAATTAAGGTAAGTGTGGTGCAGGCAGCTGTGAGCCCCTGCACACATTTTTTTTTGGGGGGGGGGGAAAGATTTTTAAGTGATCTTCTCATGAGGAATCTTACTTAGAGGAACATTTTCTACATCACGGATAGGGAACCTGAGACCCACCAGAAGATGTTGGGTTCACAACTCTCACCATCTCCAGCTAGCAAGGACAACTGTCAGCACCAGGTTCCCCACTGCACCAATGCATTGCCCATGTTGTCTTCAGGACAAGCGTCTTAAACATCATGGCAGTCCTCTGTCATGGTTCTCAGTCTGACTGCAAATTTTCACTGCAGAAGCAGACCTCTAAGGAGAACAAGGCGTTCCAGGCCAGAGTGGGGCTGACCCCCTTTTTGGATACTGCCCTTGTGTTTTGGACACTACGCAAGGGTCATTGTGTTCTCCAGACAGTACTCTTGGAACCCAGAACCACCACCTCCATCATAAAACTGGCCCCATAAAACTCTTGTATTCCTGTCCTGTTTACGGCTTTCCCACTGAAGCATCTGATTGGCCAGTGTGAGAACAGGATGTTTTTAAACACCTGGTTTTTTTAATAAAGAATTTTATCAAGGGTGGGTTTTTTTAGTAAACCGCTGATCAGGTTTCTTAAAGCTGAGCACTATATAAATTTTGTAAAATGTAAAATAAATAAGCAAAGGATGCTGGATTGGCTGGGCCTTTGGCCTGATCCAGGGGCAAGGCTCCTTTTAAGTTAATCTAGGTCAGGAAAGGAAGTTACAGAGAACATGTCCTTAAGGAGAGCTCTACATCTAAATATATATAAAGCACGTAACCAAAAATGTACAGTAGTACCTCGGGTTACATACGCTTCAGGTTACAGTCTCCACTAACCCAGAAATAGTACCTCGGGTTAAGAACTTTGCTTCAGGATGAGAACAGAAATTGTGCTCCGGTGGTGTGGCGGCAGCGGGAGGCCTCGTTCGCTAAAGTGGTGCTTCAGGTTAAGAACAGTTTCAGCTTAAGAACAGACCTCCAGAGCGAATTAAGTACTTAACCCAAGGTACCACTGTAATAACAAAAGAGTTGAATTCAATGTTAGTCTTACTCAGAGGAGAACCATTGAAATTAATGAACAATTTCAGTGGGTCTACCCTGAAGAAAAGATAGTCGAATGCAACCCAAAGTGTGGAATTGGATCTCTATTTCATACTACATTTGTTCTAAAAATAAAAATTGGCAAAGCTAGCAGGGGCCAGTAAAAAAAAATGACTGTGGGGGTGGATCTGGGACCACCAGTTGCCTGTCCTAAAACAACTGTATTTGGCTGCTGTCACAGACAGACTTGTGGGCCACTGTGTCCCTGTTCTGAGGATGATCCAGTCCAGATGTTCTTATATAATATAAAGCGGGTGGAGAAATGATTTAAAAAAAACACAAGCAGAACAACAACACCACCCAAACCCCACACCTTTTCTTGACACTCCCTCTTGTTGAATGCCTTGTGCATGGAGGAAGGAGAAAAAAGTGGTGATCTTGGTTTGTGGTTCACAACTTGGGTGTGTCAGGGAGATATCCTACATTTATGCCACATTTACTGCTTTCCATTAAAAGTTTAATGGCAAGGTTTAAAATATTACATTACATTGTACTGCATGTTTACTTGCCAATATTTCGCTGTATTTGATTATTTCCTCCCCCCCCAAAAAAAATAATAATAATGATGATGATGATGAGGCAAAGCTTGGCAGGCAGCCTACCAGAAAATGAACTATTTCCCACCCTTCATTTGGAATATTTGAAACTGTTTGTAGACAAGCAGCCCCCCTAAAGCTCTGAGAAAAGAGTGATGCTCAGAGTTTTCTGTCTCCCTGCTGGTCGCCAAGGACAAACTGGCGCCAAAAGCGGTTTGTCAGAGAAGCCTTGTGCCAATCTTCTCAGAGCTGAAGGAGACTCTGAATGCAGGAGGGCACAGCGAGGAACTCCCTAGTTACAGCTGCACTCTGTAAAAACAACTCAGTAACTTTCTGATGCTGCATCCATGTCCAGTATTAGAGCACCCCTTTGGGAATGCTTTGAGCTCAAGGTCACACCGCAGCCCGTCCATCCTCATTTGCAGGGTAACTGAGTGCGATGCAGTCGTTAGAGTGCTGGACTATGACTGGGGAGACCAGGGTTCAGATCCTCACTGGGTGACCTGGGGTCAGTCACAGTCTCTCAGCCTAACCTACCTCTCAGGGTTGTTGTCAGAAGAGCTGCGTACTCCTTGAAGGAAAGGTGGGATTACAGTGGACGCTCAGATTGCAAACATGATGTGTGCAGGAGGCACGTTCGCAACCTGCAGCGCTGCGTCTGCGCACGTACGAGTTGCGATTCAGCGCTTCTGCACATGCGCAAAGTGTGATTTAGCTCTTCTGCGCATGTGTGACTGCCGAAACCCGGAAGTAACCCATTCCGGTACTTCCTGGTTTTGGCACGTTCGTAACCCAAAAAAACGCAACCTGAAGCATCTGTAACCTGAGGTATGACTGTATCCAAAATTACAGAATAAATCCATCAGCTCCAAAATTTGCCTATTCTGGCTACATAATAAGAGTCTGCTGGATCATCTGGTCCAGCATCCTGTTCTCACGGTGGCCCAACAAATGTCTGTGGGAAACCCACTAGAGCACTCTCTCTTCCTGAAGTTTCCAGCAACTGGAATTCAGAAGCATTACTGCCTATGACCATCGAGGCAGAACATAGACATCGTGGCTGGTAGTCATTGATAGCCTTATCCTCCATGAATAGCCCTTGACATAGCATTATCCTCCTACAATGACTTGTCCAACCCTCTCTTAAAGTGGGTTGGCATCGCTGCCTCCAATAGGAGCAAGTTCCTCAGCTAGTAATTCCTTTCAAGTGACACAGTGTCAGGGACTGGGCAGAGGAGGAATGGCAGAGACCGCCTCCCCAGCCTGACCCTTCCAGGGAGGAGGGAGGAGGAGGAGGAAGAGGAAGACAGTTTAAATTTACAAGAGGGGTTTGCAGGAGGTCACAGCTCAGAGGAAGATGAGGGGGAAAGTCGGGAAATAATGGGAGAGGAGGAGGAAGCAGCAGAGGGGCAACAGCTGATGGACACGGTGTCTTTAGAAAGCATTCCAGATCCCCCTCTCCCAGAACCCGGCGAGCCTTGAAAGTAGGAGAGCAAAAAGCTCAAAGACAGAGGGCACATGGCAGCACCCGTAGAAGTGACGAATGAGGAAGTGAGAGAGACAGGGTGGAGATTTGCTGCGGACAACGTCATTATCCAAGAGGCTGGGTTCTATAGCTTCTCCCTCTAATTGGTGAATAAAAAAGGATAGTAAGAAACCTTCCCTTGTCTTCATACTTTCCTGGGCAACCAGCTGGGAGCCGCTGACAGCATCCTGACACTCAGACTAAGATCTGCCCTAGCTTTACTCCTTGCAATTCTAACTGGGTAGGCCAAGGTCTGAAGTAGGAACAGACCCTTGGTCCATGCTTCAGACCCTTGGTCCATCTAGCTCAGCATTGTTGACACATTGGCAACAGCTTTCCAGGGCTCCAGGGGGCGGGGAGATCTATTTCACAGCTCTACCTGAAGATGCTGGGGTTGCAACTGTTGTGCCACAACCCTCCCACTCGTTTTCTATAAAAGGTGACATCACTGACAACTTGAATAAAATATTGGGGGGGCTCCAAGTAAGCCCCGCTTTGCAAAATCAATCACAAGATGCAGCACACACACACACTATTTGAATGGCAATGCCTATCAACTTGGGGGCCCCTCAAATATTTTATGGGGGGGCGAAGACC